ACCTCTGTGCCGGAAAGCAATAGCACCATTGTTGTTGTTCCTGTCTTTTGTTATGGACAGACACATCAACACCCCAGTATTTGACCTCATGACCAGCGGTTACAGAGTTTGCAGAGTAAGAGGATTTATTATCAGTGTCTTCTTCAAGAGGACATTCACACAGCTGCTCCTTTGGGTGGGCTCAGCTGTGAATTGGTGAAGGAAGTACGATGTATTCTTTTTCTTTTTGGCTTTTCTTTTTTGGCTTTTCTTTTTTCTTTTGATTTTTTCTTTTTGACTACATGTGTCCTTGCACACTGGGAAAGGACTTGCCTTAATTGGCTTGCCAGTGTGCTGGACACCCATTTCATTCATCACTGCATGTGATGGCTTGCCTACAGGATTGGGACGCGAGACCCCCCAAACTATGGGCTTGGCAGTGCTCCTTCGATATGGTAATGGCATGGTTCTCATCCATCCAAACTGTGAACCAACATCTCCTTGATCACTGCGTGTGGACACTTGCCTACGGGTTGGGAATTGAATCACCCCATCCTACAGGCTTGGCAGTGTGACCCTATTGTTTTATGTCCTCTGAGTTGAGCCCTGGGCCTTGATTGGCCTATCAGTGCGCATAAAACTTGGTCGCTCCTCCATAAACACTCCTCAGAGGGAGGCGCCGCCCCTTGGTGCAGCTAGGAGCGTTCTTCTCCTTAGTCAGGTGACGCTATGGTTCTGGCCTTCCTAGTGCCTCTTCTAGTTCACGAGGTTAAATATAATATTAAGATTTTTTTTTGAATTGGATCATACTTTAGATCATATGTTCATCAAGATTTTATTTCCATCATGTCAACTGACATCATGACAAAAATTCCATAGAAAAAATGGTGTATTTGGACTAGATTTTGCAATATCAGAAGGTGCACTTGACATATTTTACACCAGAAAAAGCAGATAGCCCAAATCGACATCTGTATCGTTCATTTTGTAGTCAACTCTACTATACAATAATTTCACTCAAAGTGGACTAAAGGAAGTATTTTTTTACTACAGCAGTTGGACCACCATAATGACATTGTGCTATCATCCAAGTTTGTGCATTTTGCTTTGGCTGATCTTCCATCTCAGAACAATCAAGGGCAACATACAAAGCAATGTATCAACTAGTATAGCTGCCTCCACCANTCTTGGAAACTAGTTGTATGGGGGAATGGGGGGTCCTAGTGGTATTAATCAATATTCATGTTTGAATATACAGCTCCACAATTGAGTTGTCTTTTCTTCAAATGCCAATGCTACTAGTACACAACAACATGGGTAGAATTAAGAATTAAGATTATTTCATTCCTTAAATGACAGGGAAGAACAAAGAATGTAAAGAAATGTACAAAGCACCCCCTCTGGAGGAGGAGTGACCAACAATAATCACAAATGAATATTCTCAACATTTCTTAGCACATCAAGAATAGTCCCACCAACTCTTTGGTCTTGGGTATCATGTGCAAACAAAATGAGATTATTTTTTGTGCCATCTCAACCATCCTTTGTAAATTTAGTATTTTATATAAAAAAGAGGATCAGTTAGACCTTCTTCAAGCTGGCATAATGCAATATGTTATTCACATGTATAGCTAGTATCTATTACTAGTAGTACTACTGTCATTGTATTGTGTTGGCAAGTAAATCTAGTAGTAGTATGGTGCTCAATCTTCAAACAGTACCTTGCTGGACTTCTTTTTTCTGTAGAGATCATTCAATTCATGTCCAAAATAATCTAGGAAGACAATGGTTGGGACATTCTTTGATGATTTGGTTGATGGTCTAGAAGGTGAATTTCTAACAATGCACCAAGGCATGTTCACAAAGAAGAAAAGAGGGAAGACAACTGAATTGGATCATACTTTAGGTCAATATGTTCATCAAGATTTTATTTCCATCATGTCTACTGACATCATGGCAAAAATTCCATAGAAAAAATGGTGTATTTGTACTAGATTTTGCGATATCAGAAGGTGCACTTGACATATTTTACACCAGAAAAGATAGCCCAAATCGACATCTGTATCGTTCATTTTGTAGTCAACTCTATACAATAATTTCACTCAAAGTGACTAAAGGAAGTATTCTTTACTACAGTTGGACCACCATAATGACATTGTGCTATCATCCAAGTTTGTGCATTTTGCTTTGGCTGATCTTCCATCTCAGAACAATCAAGGGCAACATACAAAGCAATGTATCAACTAGTATAGCTGCCTCCACCAATGCTGACAAACTGGAGGTCATTCACAATTCCAACCAGGCTGGCAAACTGGAGGGCTGTCAACAATTCCAACAGGGGGAATATTATTTAGGCCTCCATTTAAGAGCTGTCAAACTGTTTCTTCACTATTCAAGTATGTAAAGCTTATTGAGTCAGGCAACTGCAGTACTTGTTATTTTGGTCACATTTCCAAGGGACCCCTTGTGTTAGATTTACATGCTGTATCTTTCAGCTTGCTTTTGTTGCACTAGTCTACCTGTAACCCATACAAATACTGTGCAGTCCAAGCCTACTTCTTCTTCTTCTTCTTCTTCTTCTTTGGGGAACCATCTACAGTTGTCTCAGTTGTCAACAGGCCTACCTCATCCTTGTTGTCATCTTCTTTGCTACCACTACTACTATTGTTGTTGTTGTTGTTGTTGTTGTTGTTGTTGTTCATGGTAAGAAAGTATAGAAAAAACTTCTTTTTCTTCCAAGCATCATGGCCAATTGATCTGCCAATAAAGTACTGAATACAATGTGGTCTTTGTTTGATTTGGAGGACAGGAGCACTGGTCTATCTGGAGCTTCTCTTGATGGTCCTTATTTGATATTTTGTTAACATTTTTGCTGCTGGTTGAATACAGCTACAAATTTCCCAAAAAAACATTAAATTAACCTCATTAGATCCAACCTGTTACACCCTTRACAAAAGCTCTTAGTATCTGTTAGTATACCCAGCGCAACTTGTACACCAGGTTCTATCTTGCTCTTATTATAAGAGGAAAGGGATTGTGAAGTTGTGGATYAATTGACCATGTGCTTTACAAGAAAAAGTAGATCTAAGCAGCAGCAAAAATTGGCATGAAATAGCAAAGAAGGAGCTCCAGTGCAAGCAGCAAAAGACCATCTTACTCTCCAGTATGAAGGCAACCAGTGTGACAGATCACTTTATTTTATCAATTTTTAAGGGATCTGGAAGTTGCAGATTGATTGACCCAGTGGTTTAGAAGATTGTCCTTGCCCCAGTAAAAACAACAACAAAAGAGGAAAGAGAACATAGCACTACTAAACAGTGATTACTAGTACTTCCTCATTGCCAAAACAACAAGGAAGGCAAGATAACAGCAGGTCAAAGACCYCAACGTAGCAAAGAAGAAATCCAATGCAATGTCTGAGTCAAATGCAAAGGTTACCAGAGTAATTGAGGAGTTGCTAGTAATACAGGGGGGAAAGGATGTCTACAAGGACAAACATGGTGGTGCCAAGTCCCTTCAAATTGCAACACTCAAACTGTTGTGCCACCAGTGGAAGCAACAACAAAAGAAGATCCACAAAAAGAAAGGAGAGAGGGTATTTGATATGTGGATACAGGTGAGGAATGTCCCTCTTCCAGAGCCTTACTGGAGGGACTCTGATGAAGCCTAACTTGTGAAGCTGAAGGAAGAGGAGACGATAACAATTAGGGACACCAAATCAGGGAAGGAGTGACGGAGAGCCAGGCTCCAAAAAGAAGAATCCCTTAGTAACCACATTGCAAGCATTACTGAAGAAGAGRGAGCTGCTTACAATATGCCTGTGAAAGTGCTACAGGGTGTTAAGGGATTGGTGGTTCTTCTTGATGGTTCCCCACCAGTAGTAGTAGTAGTAGTACTAGTCGTGGTACTACTTGGTCCAGCAGTAGTTGCTGAAATATTAGTACTAGCAGTTCCCACAAGTTCTTGTTAGTAGCACCACCTAAGGGCCCTGTAGTAAGTGTTTCATACAGAAATATTTTCTTGGAATTGATTTTGATTTTATTCCCCCTTCTTAGTAGCAGTGTCCCAACTTCCGTTTTGTTTTGCCAAATCAAATTCTCAAARAGTGAGCAAAAGAATGCTCTGATGAGCTCCGAATATTTTAACATAAAATAGTTTTTAACAGGTAGGCTGGTTCAGTGTTGCGCAGAGTTGTGTAGAAAAACTTACCACAAAAAAAAGGTTAGTACGAAATCACAGGCACCTAAACTTGTGCTAACGAAGTAGGCCCAAAGAGGTTCCCTAACAATAGATCTTTTTGTAGAGGAAGGAAACCCTTGACTAACAGATTCTCTAATTCTGRTTGGTCCTTTGTTTGCAAATATAAAGGATGCAATAAGAGGAGTTTTTTTAAGCGATTCAAGACTCATGCCACACATTTGGGTTCGCTAATCATTAAATTTTTTTCCCGCGGTGTCCTTGTTTTCTTTTCATTCAGTACTACCGGACGGTACTAAAAAAAGCAATTARAGTCCGTGCGGAATTGTCATATTTCTCTTTGTGCAGTGGGAACTTTTTGAGGCTTATTATTCAGTTGTTTCCCGCAGTGCCGTATATTTTYCTTTCAATCAGTACTTAAAAACGCAATTATAAATATGAACCATTGATATTGGAGAATGAAAGAATTTAGTGTCACATCTGTGTTCTTCGCTAGAGTTGCTACATGTGAAACATCAATGACGTAGGCGAAGAATATTCAAAGAATGGTTGTTAAACTTAACCGCATTTTCATGATATGACACGTGTTACATGTCTGTTCGACAACTTTTTTGAACAGGAGGTTCTTATTGGACATTAGATATAATTAGATTTCTAGTGACGTAGTTTGGGACTAAATTAATCGATGTACTGTCAGTTAAAACAAATCTTTTGATTGGTTGAATCTACCACTTTCGCGCCACCTTTGTTCCACTTGTTTCTCAACCTTTGAAACGAAAATTTTCAAATCGAAATGCGGATACAGTAGAAAAAGAACCTGTGGTGACGTAGTTCAGGTTCTATTSGTACGTACGAGTACGTACCTGAGGAGTTTGCAAGAGCGAAGAAAATCTAAAAATATTTGAAATCTGGTCTCACCCAAGAAGTTCCCGTACTTTTGCTTTGATTGACAGAAAAATGACAAACTATGGCTGCCCTCACAAATCAAAAACCTATCGTTTTGAAAGACTTTTTGTCACTTCCGTTCGCAGCCTATATCCCAAGGATCCTTTTAAAGCTTTACACTCAAGATGGTTGATGCTACTGAACCCACCAAGCCCACCGACCAGAAGACTATGATTCTCAGTGTTGCCGCCCTTGGTTTTCTTGTCTGGGCCATTGCCGTGACGGCCCAGCTCRSAAAAAATGATGCCGCTCCTGCGGCACCTGTCGTCGAAAGCGCCGAGAGCATGGACTTCAGCCTCATGACCTCCAAGACCACATTGGAAGCACCCAATGTCTGCTACAAGAAGAAGATCGACCTTCCCAACGTMGAATGCTTCATCGAAGCTCTTGACGATGGCGCCGATGTGAGCGGAGAAGTGGTCAACGTCGGACCACAGGCCGGTGCCAATGTCACTGCTGGATACGTCGGAGGCTTGGAAGTGGATGTCGARCCCATCACTACTCCTTACTACCAAGCCGGACTTTGCCCTGTCAATGTCCACTGGCACTTGGGTGCCGAGCACTATTCTGCAGGCGAATACGATTGTGAGGACCACTACGACGACCACCGTGACCTCGTGGAAGGTGGCATGTGCGGTCCTACCCCTGTMCACGAACGCCGCAAGCTTGCTGGTAAGGCTCGCCAGGGGTACCAGTGCAACCTCTACGATGCCGAGGACGAGAAGTTCACCAAGCCTTACGAATGGAAGTTCTGTGATGCTTCCATGGAGGTCGGACAGACCTATGAAGTCCACTGGCCTCACTCTGCCGCCGGAGCCTGTGGAACCCCCAACCAGTACCAGACCCCCTTCTACGATGGAGTCTTCTGCAACTTGGATATGGACACTCTCCTCACTCTTCAAGCCCAAGACATTGCCTCCAACGTTGGTGTCCAGGCACAAGTCTTCGTTATCGTGAACGACGAGAGCTACTACTACCCTGACCTTATCAAGGGAATGATCGTTGAGCCCACCCTTGGAATGGGATCTGATATGGCCATGTACACTGGATCCACCACCGGAACCAGCCGTGACAACACTGTGTGCTCCCAGTACACCCCCATCACCTGGCAGGTCGACCGCAAGTGCCACATGATCTCCGCCTCCTCCTTCGACAAGATGTGTGCCGATATGATGGAACAACGTGATGATATGACCGATGACCTCTACGCCCACGGATCTCGTGTTCTGGTTGCCGATGCTCTTACCGCCGACAAYCAGGCCAACCGTAACCTTCGTGCCTAAAAAGCACGGGCAGCCATGAATCCTTTATACCTGAAGATACGAACGTATCTCTGGTAGTGCATTACCACAAATCTATGACTAACTTTTGGTGACCCATATTCGATATAAATACATGTTTGCATAGTGAACCAGACGAACTTGAGTTTGGCGAATGACGGACGTGGTCAAAGTTCCATATCTCTTTTCTMAGTGTTCACAAAGCCCTTATATTCTGTTGATCGAACGAAGAAATGCGATTTTGTTTGTGCAAGTATTCGTTATCCCCACGACCGAGCTCCATCGAGTGAACATAAAATTAAATCCTCTTCTTCTATYAGTGAATTCATGTAAACCACAAAGATTCTTTTTGGACAGCATGCTCATTTTCCTGCATCATCCGATAGCTGTGACGACCCCATATCTTGCGGTTGTCAACGACCATTCTTTGCCGGCGTCTAGTGACAACAGTATGTTATGATGAGGTGACTCGATCAACGCGTACCTCGACACATCAGCTCGAACATWAGCTGAAGAGGAATGTGGAATAGAACCGCAGAACCGCCTTGACACCTGGTGAAATCGTTATTACCTTGCAAGAGTACCTGAGCGCATGTGCTAATAATGTATCAACAAATACAGTAATCAAGATTGCTCCTAGAACAGTCATCTATCTAGAGTTTGTTTGCCCACTCCGCTTAGATTTGAAATGCACATATCTCATTAGTTGTACTACTTTGTTATTTTCAATGAATGACGTACGCTCGYGCGACTTGTTTGTCTATAGAACGATTGCATAAGCACGGTACTGCTATTGGCAACTGCTGATTCACGGATTATCGATTCTGACGGKTTTTTTTCTCGTCTACGAACTGGGAAGAAAACTTGGACCATCGCTAGGCCTCAAACTCGGACCGTCGCTAGGCAACATACTCGGACCGTCGCTAGGCAATGAGCTCGGCACAAACTTTCCTCTCTCCTCCCTAACGACTTTCCTTCCCTCCACATCCAATTTCCCATGTGGCGAACCCGGAGAAATYAGCGCATTAGGATTATTTGATGACTCCTCCGTCGTCGTTTCAGAYGTCTCTTCAGAATCACGAAACGTTGGTCTTGACGTTGGTTGTGACGTTGGTCTTCGCGAGGGAGCTCGGGTAGGTGATCTAGTTGGTGATTTGGTCGGTGTTCGCGTAGGTTCCATGGTTGTCGGCTTGCTGGTGGGAGCAGCAGTTTCCGGGTTAAGAAATTGACTTGGCTTGATTACGGCATCGATTGCGTGAATATATCCATTTCCGGCGCGAATGTTCACGAAGGATCGACTCAAAAACTCTGGCCGATCGGAGGCAACATTGCCCTCGCCTACCTGGTAGCGTGGAGTCCCATCGATCTCACAGTATGTTGTGGTGGTTTCCCCGAGATTTCGGGTTTCAAGTTCGTAGAAGCAGGTTCTACTTAAGTCCTCAAAGGAAAGAGCCCGATTGATGATATGGGTGTCCAGAAAATCTCGCACCGACAGCGCGGGCGGCAGGGTGGTCACGACGGGTGTCAAAAATGCAGTGTTAACTGGAGCAAACAACGTGAATCTTTCGTAGTAGCTCAGACCCCAGTCAAGTCCTTGTATCCGCCCCGCAATCGTGTTGTTTTTGACGGTTTCGTTATAAAGGCCGCACATGATTGAAAATTGTTCATTTGAGCAGAGTGCCGATCCTACACTTATTACTGKATCTTCTGTGGCGCTTGCATTCCCCCTCAGCGAATTGTGTTGCGAGCTAATAATGCCCGACGTATTGAAAAAGTCGTCATCGTTTCCGCTTTCAATGTCGATGTCATTAAGCCAACCCCCATTCTTTGCTTCTTCATACTCCTGAGGAGTTAGCGCTGCCCCTGATACAGAAACAAAGCYAGCGAGAATTGCACCTACTGCGGCTCYAGGCAGTGAGAAGGAGGTGGACGAAACCATTACCAAGATTGCACTGGCTACTATTGATCCGTGCAATACGAGAGAGCGTTCCAGAGAATTCTTGCAGTGATTGGAGGCAACCGGGARAACTATTTCTCTCTGCTTCAGATACCCGATATGATTRATTTACCGYGTGGTCTTGTTTCTCTTCGAAGCTATTTTTTTGCAACATCAACATCCGAAGCCGATTTTTCGATTTTGTGACCACAGAATATTATCATCGTCGCTACATGATCGCCGATCGCCGATTTTCTTATGCCCAWAAAATCATAAATCACAAAYTCTTTGATATACATATCTTTACTACTCTATAAACATACTATACCAATCTCGTGTGAGGTATGCTTATGAAATACAATAGGTACGAAGTWAAAGGTTATTACGAAGTATTCCACAATTCGTATTTAACACTTACCGTCCGTACGATTTGTACTAGGTGAGGGTGTCGAACTTGAATGTTCGGACTCGCTGCTGTCACGAGTACGTRCGGTACGTACTGGCAYCTAGCTTACTCGTACTACGCAATTGCGTCTTGCATGATGGAAGATTGGAAGCAGAAAGCACCTAAGGGATGGTGCAGTCTAGTCTATCAAATTTASYWTWTKA